TTCCTTCTTTCCTTCTTTCCTTCTTTCCTTCTTTCCTTCCTTCCTTCCTTCCTTCTTTCTCTGTCTCTCTCTCTCTCTCCAGGGCACAAGCAAAATAAACCCACAGTCCCGCTGCGGATCCATCTCCTTTCTCTCCGTTTCCTTCTTCAGAAACTCCTTCAACAACCTTCCTGTCCAAAGTACAAATCTTTCAGCAATTCTTCCACTTCAGTCCTGCAATCTCCGTTTTCACACATTTGGTTGATGTGAGCTGCTCCCTCGCTGAATCTTTTCCACGTATCTAAAATAAACGAACAAAAGAATTTTTTTTAAAAAAAAGCGATGAGCAAATGCAAGAGAGAAAAGCAAATGACAGCAGAGTGTGCAGGATAATTGAAAAAACAAAACCCACAAAAACGGAGGGTCTGAACTGATGAGAAGATTTCGTGCTTTCACGTACTTCCCCATCACCTTCCCATTCCCAAAACATCTGGCCCGTACTGGGTCATGCATCTGAAAACTTCCTGATTCCAACCTAAATAAAGAGTCCCGTGCACACAGGAAGCAATCAGTATTGTTAACTGCAATTTTAAGTGGGTGAACGCAAACGGAATAGATAGATACTGCGCCAGGCCCATCAATGCCAAAAGGAGCTTTGAAAGATGGGTGTATTTATTTTTAAAGCTAATTTAAATTCCTCATATGTTTACAGAAGTACCAGCTATCATCATCACCACATCTCCAATGTAAAATAAGCTCTCCTTCCTCCTCTTCCAACGAAAAGAGAATTATAGGCATAGAAGATTACTTTTCAATTCAAAAAGGTTTTTAAGAAGAGACTGGACAGTCACTTGTGTCATGGTTCCGACAGATGAATCTCGTCAAAAGAACTTTGAGGCATTGTTTTCTTGAAAGAATCTTTTATTCGTGAAACAAAGTATCGGCACTACATAGTTGAAGCCAAAAACTGAATTCCCCTCCCCTGGGCACAAAGTAGCAAAGCGCAATTCCCTCTTCCAATTAACAATCATAAATCACATTCCCCAATTAACTTGAAGCACGGGCTTTCTCCCCAGCTCTCCTGCCCGCAAAATCTCTATCAGCTCTGGACCTAACAACCTTGGGTTCCCATGGCTGAGTTATTATTGTTATGACTAGCTGGACTCTCATCCACATTCCCCCTCCCAGCATCAACGGACTCTAAAAGCGATAGAGAAAAGATGGCTACATTTCCATCTGATGTCAAAGCAAGAACATCTGATTTTAGCAGCGTTGATAACTTGTCTGAAATGGTATAGGTTCTCCAGATCAATCTGGGGGCTGGACTAAAAGACCTCCAAGATCCCTTTCAGCTCTATTCTATTTTAAGTCTCCTATTCTAAAACTATTGAGTAAGGAGAAAAACCTTACTGGTCCTCCTGACCTCTTGCACAGCCAAAAAGTAGAAGGGAATGGCAGATCTTCCTCTAATTCAACTTTTATGTTGTTGTTGTTGTTCAGTTGCTAAGTTGTATCTGACTCTTTGCGATCCCATGGACCACAGCACAGCACAGACTCCCCCCCCATCCTCCATTAGCTCCCAGGTTCTGCCCAAATTCATGTTCATTGCACTGATGACACTATTTAACCATCTCATCCTCTGCCATCCCCTTCTTCTTTTGCCTTCCATCTTTCCCAACATTAGGGTCTTCTCTTCTCACTTGGTGACCAAAGTATTTGAGCTTCAGCTTCAGTATCTGTCTTTCTGAAGGACAGGCAGGGCTGATTTCTTTTAGGATCGACTGATTCCTAAAGGAAATCAATTCAGCTCCAAAGAAAACTCAGATCGGTCTTCTTGAATGAAGGTCTGTAGAACTTTCCTCAACCTTTCAGTCAATATTGTGCTAAAACGTTTATCGTCATTAGTAACTAATGAGATTGGCCCACATTTCCCCCCCCCTTAAAGTCCCATCTTGACTTTCCTTTGGCTTTTTACAGATCCTAATGACATCCTGGAGGAAGATTCAAAACTGCATCTTTGCCCACAATGAAACCATGCAGTTCAAGGAAGACCTTCCTGCTCAATCTTCCAAGCAGGATATCTCATAGTCTTAGCCATCTTACATCTTCATCTCTTGGAGATGGTAGAACTTGAGGAAAGATCTATCTATCTATCTATCTATCTATCTATCTATCTATCTATCTATCTATCTATCTATCTATCCATCCATCCATCCATCCATCATCCATCTATCTATCTATCTATCTATCTATCTATCTATCTATCTATCTATCTATCTATCTATCTATCTATCTATCATCCACCCACCTACCCACCTACCCACCTACCCACCTACCCACCTATCTATCTATCTATCTATCTATCTATCTATCTATCTATCTATCTATCTATCTATCTATCTATCTATCTATCTATCTATCTATCTATCTATCTATCTATCTATCTACCTACCTACCTACCTACCTACCTACCTACCTACCTACCTACCTACCTACCTAGAAAGGAGACTTCATGTGCTACCTGGTAGGATGGATTTTCCCCAGACCTCGCCATGACCAATGCACCATGGCCAACTCATCACGGTACAACTTGTTGCAGCCAACTTGCCACGGGACAATGCAACAATTTAATTATTTAAAATAAATTTTAAAAAATATTTTAATTTTTGTCATTCAACATTTCCTTTTGTCCCTCCCTTTGCATCCTTTTTAAAACGATTCTATTCCATCGTTTCTTCAATATGAGTGTAACTCTTGTCCCACAACTCTTGCACACAATGAGTTGGCTGGAGCAGGCTGTCCTGGATCCCATTTTCCCACCCCCAATTTACAGTACCCTGGAAGCAGACAGACAAGCCAAAGTTCATTGGTGCTGGGGGTTCGTTTTGCTTGTTTTACCAAACGTACTTTTATTGATCAAAGACCAAAATTAAATTTCTGTCTGTCTGTCTGTCTTCTCAAAAGTTCTGAGAATGAAAAAGAAAGTAGCGGAAAAAGAGTCCCTTTTAACACTTGATTTTTCAGTCCAGATTCCGAGTCCCCCAACAATCATGTAAACAAATCAGAGGCCAAAAAGAATCAAGCGATTGTTTTTCTAGGATAATTGCTTGTATAAACAAACCCCTTGATTCACACTAATGAAACGAGGAGGAGAATTTCTTCCAGAGCTGCAGTCCTGGAATTTTCTAGCTACAGCCAAGCGGTAACTTGAAACCAAAAAGGTCAGCTGATTCGTTTCAAGTGCCGGTTCTTGACCATGTTACATTCCACAATTATTAAATCCAAATGTCTCTGATGAAAAGATTAAGGATGCAGTCCTGCATACGTTTATCTGACAAGAAAGATGTTTCATCCCAACATCAAGCCAAACTATGGTTAATTGAATAAACCCAAAGTCACTGAGTTTGCAAACCATGAAAAGCCATAAACCAGAGTTAAGCACTCTGTGGTTGACACCCTCCAACAGTTAGGTTCCCCTAGAGTGGACAGTAAAAAAATTGAACAAATCACATCAACACGTGTTCTGTGTGACCTCAGGTTAGGTCTCAGGAAAGTCTTTGCAATTTAATTTTGACAGAAGGAACGTTAGATCAGTGGTGTGTGACTCTAGGACTGTGTAATACACCTTACACTAAATATTTGGAATTCCAAAAATTCCAGTAATAATTCCATGTGAATTTATTTATTTATTTATTTATTTATTTAATTTAATTTATATGCCGCCCTTCTCCCGACAGGGACTCAGGGCGGCGCACAACATATTTAAAACCAGAACATATATACAATCCCCCCCTTAAAACCGAATTAAACCGAATTTTAATGTTGCGTCTTCCGAATATTTAAAACCCAATGTAAAATCCACCCTAGGTCAGGT